TGGGAGAATCACCCACATCAAACAATATCCAAATTCAACCTGCTCTTTCTCACCTGGCTGGGAAAATAGCCCTGCGCCGCGCCGCGGCGTCGTGTCCTGCCTAAATAGTCCTACTACCCCTCCACTCGCCGATTCTCGCTGCCGGCCCACTCGGTCCAAAAAGCCGGCTGACGAAGAAATAAGCTACTGTCGAAATGAGTAGCGAGGAGCCGATAAAGTGGACGAATATAAAGAGGAAGGATAATCGGACTAGGGCACCAAATGAAGGGGTGTATGCTAGACCCCAGGCAAGGGCTGTGAGGAGGAGGAAGAAGGAAAGGAGGTATGTAAAGGAGGGGTCAGGCCGGTGCCAAGTATTTTTTGTTTCTGGATGAGTTTTTCGCTAGCTTAGTATGTTCGAAGGTCATGTATACGGGGGATATAGATTGATATATTCACGTTTCTGCGTCGATGCGGTTTCATGTTAGTGTTGGTATCCAATGTCCTGTTGATAGGGATAGAGTAGAAGATAGTCCCCAGCAAGCAGCACGGACATGTGAATAAAATAAAAGGAAATAAATGCATATAAATAACAAGAAGGGGAAAAAGAAACTAACATGATAATACATAGATTTGAACACCTTCTTAGGCGCTATAAGCAGCGATGTCATTTCCCAGATGGCCATTTCGAAGTCCATCTGTGGGAATTTAAATAACCTGTTTATAGAATATCGATGCCGTTAGAATCAGCTCAGGGTAATTTATGCATCGGGCGTCATTGCATTTGCCGGCATATAGCTCTGTTCCATCTCCTGTTTCTTCATCTTTCACCTAGGCCTGTTGCACAGAAGTACGGAGGCAAGGCAACGACGTTCCAAGAACCAGGATTGTGAAATCATCAATCTGAAAACACACAAAGATGGAAAAAAATAAAAATAAAAATAAAAATAAAATGAAATGAAAGAGGGGAAAACGCCTGACCTCCGGAAGAATCTAGGCATGCGTATCGACGACTCCCGCCGCGGAGCTGTGCTGCCGAAGTTGGCTGGGCCAGCATGTTGCCGCGGAACTGAGATGTGAGGGTTCATGACCCCTCGTGGATGGAGGTTCTGACAGTGGCGGGAGAGAGAGAGGAGGGACGCGGGAAGTACTATTAGGCTGAGATTCGGAGGGAGGGAGAAGTTGGGAGTATAGAAGCTCTCGTTGCGGTGGAGTTGAAATGGGCTTTCTACGGTTATCTTGAGCCACGATGCATTTTTGTTAGCCATCGTGGCGCTGTTTAGCGCCGGCAGGAGAAGTTCATTGGTCACGGGCTTTGTGGGGAATCGGAAGGTCGTCTATTAGCCGCTAAAACAATAGGAATCTCAAGAAGATAATTCTTTCGTTTTATTATCAACTGCAAAGACGTGGAGTACTATCAGTTGATAATGAAACAGCAGAATAACATATTTGATGCCTCGCCACTTCATGCTAGCCTCTTGTATTCTCAATAGTGCCCCTTGCAACGCCTCTCTATGACACGAAATGGCGGGCTTTGAATGCACTAGTACTATCCATCAACGGTTGCTAGTATTTCCATAAGAGAGGCGGAGGGGGTAAGGGAAAGACCGAACGTCATTGATTCGTATATCCAACTATGATTTATCTTTGCCATTTATCTAACTCCGCTCCACCTCCAAGAATTCTCACTTGGAACCTACACCCCCTTCACGTGTCGACCTCCAGGGACGAAACTGCAGCCCTCACCTTTCTTGGAGATAGCAAGTCCTGAAAGTTGAAGTTTGTTTTCATCTTTCATTTTTCACGGATGATTCTTCGTGTTCATTCTTTCAGCGAGGTCTTGAAAAATGGTATACTTGTTGTGTATTTGAAGGACAAAAAGAGCAGAAGAAAAAACTTTCATCTTCCAGCTGGTGGCCATAAAAGTAGCGACACTTGACGCAAGCACTATAAAATATGAGAATTATATAAAATTATTATATAAAATTACGAGTATATTTCTTTATTTTGCCTACATGAATGTCGCCTGTATTATCTTTCAGGTATTCGTCTATGATAGCTATCTATCAATGCCATTCATCCTACTAATAAAGTCGAGCAGTAATACCGAGCAT